CAGGAAACAGAATGGTGGTTACCTGGTGCCAGAAAGAGAAGGAAGTGAAGAATTAACAAGTACAGAGTTTCAGTTCTGCAATGTGAAAAAAGTTGTGGAGACTAGGTGAAACCAGTGTGACTATATTGGGTCATTGGCAAAGTCATGACATATTTTTCTGTTTTTCTATGCGAAAATACATCATGACTTTTATTTTTTAACTCACTTATTTTTAAATTTAATTTAAATAAAAATCATTACATATTTTACTTAAATGATTTTAAAGATTTTACTTTATTTATTTTTAATTTGACCAGAGAGGGACAGAGTGAGAGAGAGAAAGAGAAGGAAAGTGAGAAAGCAAGCCACCAGGGACTTGAACAGCTGTCAGCCATGTGGGAGTCCAGTGCCCTTAACCACCATGCCACCTGCCAGCCCCCATCATGACTTTTCTGACAACCCAATACTTACCATCCGTCAGTGAACTCTACACTTAAAAATGGGCAAGATGGTAAATTTTTGTTATGTATATCTCAACACAGAGGAAAAAAAGAGTTTTAGAATGATTCACAGAACAAAATCCAACTCTAAAAGAGAAACACGCTTGGAACTGATTCTGAATGGCTAAGGGTCAGAAATGGGGATGACTACACCCAGCAAAGGTAAAGAAAAAGCAAGCATGAGCTGTGACCTTGATAAATGGCAAGACAGAATCTGGGCTCGAGGCATTGAATGAAATAAAGAAGATGCAAGAGTCTGGAGAGTGTGCACCGACCACACAGCAGCACTTCACAAAGCAGAAATCACAGGGAACGAACGTGAGAAGAAAGAGAAATGTCAGGAAGAGGTGACCAGAATGCACCCCCTTTAAGTCCAAAACTCAACAAAGGGCCAAGAAGTAAGGATACAGAAAACCTGCACACTATATAAGCTACATTTCCCGTGTACATACTCACATTTATCCCTTCAAAATAAAGAATACACTTCGTCAAATGCACAACAGAAACTGACCATATATTAGGGTACACAAAGTCTCAATAAGTGACTTCTGAGGATGTTACGTTCACAGTCTTTCTGCAAAGTTTCCATTATTCCTCTTATTTTTGAGATTTTTGCTATAGGGCGTGGGCACTCGCTGGAGAGAAACTGAGAGGGAGAAGGAAGGTGAGAAATCACCCTTGGGGGGATGGCCATTCTCCTCCTGGGATTTTGGGCATGCACACACATATGCACCATGTGATTTTCAAGTCACTAGGTCTGGGACTCCAACAGTGAAGTCAGCCATGTGGAATATAGCCATCTTAACCTCCACATCACCTGCTGGCTCATATTCACTGGTTTCAACAGGATAAATAATGTATGAATAGAAGCATTTTGAAAACTAAAAAGCACAAATATTCATCAGTGCTATCGCTACCGCTACCGCTATCACTGTTACTACCATTATTCTCTGTTTGGTGGTCAATCTGCTTGCTCCCTGGTCTCTGACACCTTCTGGGAAAGACTGCCAGGTAGGCTGGGTATGAATATGTGATCGCTATCATCTCCAAACAGGCTGCTGCCTCCTCAGTGTTTACTATGTGCCAGGATGTCGCTGATTTACTCATAGTCTTTTACTAGAAACAGTTTTGGGGGGCTGGCCACTGGACAGCAGTAAAAGACTATGCTCTGTGAGGCTGACCTATATGGCAAGGTTACTGGTTCACATCTGGAGATCTCTCCTAGCACACCAAGCACACACTTTCCTGTGACCATGACTGGCTGAAGGCTGGGGGGTTAGATCGTGGTGTCAAGACCCCGTTGAGCTGGTCGATCTCTGTCTTTCTCTCATTCATAGATATTTTAAAATAAATAAATAAATAAATAAATAAATATTTTTTTAAAAAAAGCTTTCTCACTGTTTTATAAAAGCAAGACTTCTTCTTCTCTTACATCACGTTCTAGGCCCAGAAGAGCTGTAAGTGCTCAGAAAAGACTTAAGAACCAAAACAGTGTTTAAGGACCTTCTTCAAAGGCATATACGGGTTTAATGTTTCACTCTGGCATGTAGGATCTGTGTGACCTCGGGCAAGTTAAATTCTCTTTCTGAATCTCAGTTTTTTTCATTTGTAAACACAGATAATAGTAATACCTACATCATGTAGGGCTGTTCAGAAGTTTCGATATAATAACACATGTAAAGCAAGGTTCTTGGTCCACAGTAAACATTCAATAAATGTCAGTCTGATGTTGAAGGAAAAAGAGCAAAATTTACCAGATATTAGGAACCCTTTTCTTTCTTAAAAACAAAACAAAACAAAACAAAACAAAACAAAACAAAACAAACAACAACAACAAAAAACACTTTAGGTCCAGCTGTGGAACTGCATACTCCCAAGACACTGGAAGGCCTAGGTTCAATTCCCAGTCCACCCTTAAGGCCAGGTGCCATGGTGTGGGTCTATAGTTCCAAAGATCCAAGGAGATCGAGGCAGGAGGACTGTGAGCCTTAAGCTCAACACAGTGAGGCCCTGTCTAAAAGATAGCAAGTTGTGGGGGTGCGGGTCTGAGGTTCCAGCTGGGAGGCCAAGGCAGGAAGACTGCAAAGTGGTGAGACTCTGGAAAAACAGAAAGAAAGAAACACTCTCCAATGCATTTGAAATGATCTTTTAAAAATATCAAGGGGCGAGGTGGGCAGCAGGTGGTGTGGTGGTTAAGGTGTTGGACTCCCACATGGCCAACTGTAGTTCAAATCCTGAAGCTGGTGGCGTGAAAATCACGGTGGGCACATGTGCACGCATGCCCAAAATCCCATCGAACAGAATAGAGGACATGGTTAATTCTTCTGGCAAGTGTGAAAATTTCCATACCCAGCTTTTTTTTTTTGAGAGAGAGGTTGCAGGAGGGAGAGGGCGTAATGAATCGCTCAAGTGTTACTCATTACTCAGCACATCCAAACAGGTAGTCTCATTCTCGTCCCTGCCACCACTGCAGCCCTGACACACAGAGTAACAGAGAAACTCTTTGATAAATGTCAACTGAAATAGAGCAATCAGCTGAAAGCCATTTGCTGCGCTGTCTGACTGCCCCGGACTCGAGGTTTTCCTTTATTCATTTATCATGATAAACGGCTTTGGCCAATGTACACATGGGAGAGAAATTGTTGACATGTGGAACCCAAGTACAGAAAATCTTTCATTCCCCTTCTCCCCTCCGTCTGTTCACCAAATAAGTTTTTGTTTATTTAAAGACTACAGAGGATTTGGCTGTTAAGAACTAAATGCCTTTGGAGTGGAGTTACAACATAATTTATCATTTCCTCTGTTTATTAAAAAATCCTGCATCTTTTAGAAGCACATTTGCAGTGAGTGGGGGATTTGGGCCCTCACCAAAGACTGCTGCAAAGCCCCTGCCATGTGGCTGACCCCCCCCAAGGACTCCATAACTGTCGTTTCTATCCCTGTTCTCCCACTGGCTGACTTCTGATGGTATGATGACCATGGAGGGTCATGAGTGGGGCTGAGGACAGCTAAGCAGGGCAGGAGCCTGTCGTTCGTCCTTGACCTCATTCTGCCTGGGACTTCTCACTGGCTGTTTCACAGCACCTCCCACCAGTATGAGGCCGAGGGAGGTGTGTGACCTCTCCGCCTTTAGCACTGTCCAGTCTGGGGGAGGTCCCACTAGCAGAGAGAAGTTGGACACTGCCTTCAACTCAGCCAGTCCCTGCTGCCATCAACAGGGCTCCATTCTGAAGGCAGACACCTGGCAGAGCTGTTAGGACTCCTACCTTTCTGCCCAAGGCATTATAGAGAGCAATTTGGTTCAGTGCATGAAGCACCCCTCAAAGACAAGGTCATTTTCATGTCCTCAGCACATATGTACCTGACAAACAGGTGGTGATCACCCAACACTTAAGAGGGTGGCAGGTGCAGCTGTAGTGGCACACAGGTAGTGCTACCACTTGGGAGGCTGGAAGCCACGAGAGGCATAGGTTTGGTTCCCCCGCTACCCGTTGCAAGTGCCCGTGATCCTAGATCACTGGGAAGCTGAGGCAAATGACCACCACACAGTAAAACTGCCCAAACACCTGAGGACCAGTAGATGGCATGGTGGTTAAGGCACAGGACTCCCACATGGCTGACTGCAGTTCAAGTCCTGGAAGTGGCATCTTGAAAATCATGCTGGGCGTGTGTGTGTGTGCATCCCTAAAATTCCAGGAGAATGGAGGACCAGGGATTGCAGTGTGGCCATTTCACTGGGAGGTTTTCTAACTTTGCCTTTCTCTGTCTCTCTGGTGAGCCATGTATGTGCCCTATGGCCAAAATCTTTTAAAAAAAAATCTGTCCCTGTATTTCTCCCCCGCCCCATCTCCTACATGAGCAGGGGGAAGAGGAGGAGGAGGAGAGGGGGAGAACTGCGGTCAGTTATGTGGGAGTCCAGCACATTAACCACCAGGCCACCCGCTGGCCCCTATAATAGCCTTTGTAATAAGTAAACATATGTAAGTGTTTCCTTGACTTCTGGGAACTGTTCTAGCAAAGTTAACTAAGCCCAAGGAAAAGGCCAAACCTGTCAGACGCATGCGTGGCCCAGACTTGCGACTGGCATTGAAAATAAGAAAATCTGAGGGGCTGAGCTCTCCTGCGGGATCTGACGCTAGCTCCAGAAAGACAACGCTAGAATGGACCTGGATTGTAGGTGCCCTGAGAGCTACGTGGTGTGTGGGGACAAAAAGCTCACACATGTGGTCACAGAAGTGCTCCACAATGACTGTGAAAGGACAGCAGGAAATCAACAGTTCATTTTCCCCTTTCACATTGGTAGACAGAGCCTTGGAACCAGGCCTCAACTTTTTTTTAAAGAATTATTTATTTATTTAACTTTGTTTGTTATTATATTTTTTAATTTGATTAGAGAGAAAGAGAAGAGAAAGGGAAAGTGAGAAAGCCAGCCACCAGGTCCGGGTCTCGAACCACGGTCAACCATGTGGGAGTCCAGTGTCTCAACCACTACCCCATCTGCCAGCCCCCCAGGCCTCAACATGAAACTTAGCTCTGTCACTTACTAGCTGTGTAGCCCAGGGCAAGAAACATCCCTTCGGTAGTGGGACCTGCAGTGAATAATGGGAATCCTCCAGCACTTGCCAGCTTTGTTACTTAAGGCAAATAACCTAATTTTGCCAAGTCTCAGTTTTCCTGTTTGTAAAATGGAAATAATACACATCTCTCAAGTTCACTGTGAAGATTACCAATAATGCCTAGGACTGCATCTAGCTCACGATGGCAGTCAGATGGTGAATGGAGGAAGGGAGAGGAGGAGGACAAGAGAAGAAAGGAGAAGAGAAAGGAAAACAAAGGCAACAAAATCCAACTAACTTAATCTAGTTCTCCACAAAGAGCCACAACAAACCACTTGTGCCCACAATAGGCAGGCCCTGGGGGAAGGATATTTCATTCCTAAGTAAATGTTGAAAATAAGGACAAGAGTAGAAAGCGGCAGAAAAAAAGAGTTAAGACAAGAAATAAAAGAAGCCAGCATTTGCCAAGCAGCTACTATGAGCAATTTATTCACAACACGAACACACAGACGTGAATGTCCGCTATGAGCCGGTGTCGTGCTTCATTCTGGGGATATACAGACAACTGAGCAAAAAGAATCATTAGGGTTCAAATTAAAAGCAGGAGACCATGCTACGAGGATGGATGGCAGTGATCCCAGTCAGGAGAAAGGAAGACTTCTCAGAAGACGTGCTATCCAAGCTAAGACTGGGAAGGCAACCACGATGGGCCAGGCAAGGAGTGGAAGAGGTCCAGTGGTCCATGCAGAGGAGAGTATGTACGAGGATGACCCAGAGGCAAAAGTACTGTGCTGGTTGCTTTACTATAGACAAAACCATAGAGATCATCAATCCAGATCAACTCTGTCCTTCCCCTTGTGGTTGTTAATCCAATTCATTCAGATTTTATTGTCTGGTACAAATGAGCCTCTAGCAAATGTGTCCAGGCACAGATGAAGGCCCTATCAGTCCAAGAAGAGGTCCAAGTCAGAGACAGGACCTGACTAATTGTCTGAAGAGGAGGTTCCTGAGATGAGGCACAAGCCTCATGTCTGCTCAGTCTGCCAATGGCTCCAGTCCCTTGGCGACATGACAGTGAAGGTGAATGCCCCGGGTGAAGGCCCCGTGCCAGCGGCAGATGGTCTCTGTGACGGGCTGCTGCCAGAAGGCCCAGGCCCAATGCAGTGGGCAGAGGTGGAAGAGAACAAGTGTGTGTCCCACTGGAAGCTGGGCCTCACAAGGACTGACAGCACAGTGACAGCCTTCCACGTGGATGCGGGGAGAGTTGCCAATTTGTCATCCATGGGATCACGAGAAGCCACACTCTGGAGTGCTGCTGAGCTCTGATGGACTTTCATCCAAGGAGCTCTTTGGTCTTCACTGCCAGATGCCTGTCCAGCTCTGCAACTGTGTCGTCGGCCATTTGGCTGATCTGCAAGAATACAAAATGAGATGGCTGGAAAAGGTAAGGGGCAAATGTTCCGGAAATAAGAAAAGACTGTCTGGGAAATAACAACAGTGACAAATTCACATTAATCAAGTCCCAGTCATGCACTGTACTAAGAATTTTACATATGTGTGTGTGTGTGTGTATAGCTCCTTACTGTTTCCTAACAGCAACCCCGCAAGATAGATAATATTATCCCTACTTTGCAGATAAGGCCACTTATTCAGAATACACAGAAAGTAGCAATGACAACATTTAATCTACACTAATCTGATTCTACAGTCTCAAATTCTTAACTATTATTATACACAATAAAGAGAAGCCTCTTTGTCCCTTAGTGAGCCTCTACAATTTCCTACATCTCATTCCCATATGAAATGAAAAGAGTATTAAGATCGCGATAGTTCAGTAGAAAAAAAAAATTCCTTGAAAAAGATGAAGTACATCTGGTTAACAAACATGAAAAATTCAACAGACACTGAGGAAATGCAAATTAAAACAAGATACAATTCAGCTATCATAGTTAGCAAAATTTGATGTTGTGGTTTTTAATTACAATATTCAATGCCAGCAAGCTATGGTGAAATAGATAAGCTCATATATCAATGATAGGAATTCAAATTGCTACAAATGTTTGTGTCATTTAACCCCCAAATCTCTCAACTGGGAAATTATCACATGAACAAGATCTCAAAACACGTTAGGTTCTATATGCAAAGAATTTATGCTAGCTTTATTTCCAGTAATTAAAAAATCAGAAAATCTAAAGTTATAGAATAGAGAAGTAGCTTAAATGCATATGGTCATTAAAAATGGTAGGCCAGCAGGTGACATGGAGGTTAAGGCGGCTGGATCCCACATGGCCAATTGTGCAGTTCAAGACCCAGACCAGGCAGCTTGAAAATCACACTGGGTGAGTGTGTGTACATGCCCAAACCCTGAGAGGAGAATGAAAGAGAAGAGACTTCAGTAGGCCTAACCATAGGTGGTGATTTCTTATCCCCCCCCCAATCTCTCTGGTGAGCGCATGTGCCCTATAGCAAAACAAAACAAAACAAGTTATGTGGAGAATGTGTTCAGTACATTTGTCAGTTGCTTTACAGCTGAATTCCACAGACAGAATAATTTCTAAAGAATAAAAGTTCATTCAGATTATGTTTCTGGAGGTCTGACCTCAAAGGGCTGCGTCTAGGAAGGGCCTTCTGGCGCTGGAGACTCTCTACAGAATCCTGAGGCAGCACAAGGCAGCACATGGCAAGAGGGCCAGAGTGTGTGTCAGTGCTGGTCTTTCCCCTTCTTCTTACAAAGCCACCAATATTTAATCATGGGAACCCCACCTTGATAACCTCTCAAAGGCCCCAACTCTTAATACTATAATCAAAATGGATTATATTTCGAGAACCAGCAGTTAGCATAATAGCTATGTTGCTGGACTCCCACGTAGTCGACTGCGGTTCGAGTTCTGGACCCAGTGGCTTAGAACTCATGCCGGGCGCGTGTGCGTGCATGCCCAAGATCCCAAGAGGAGAATAGAAGAGAAGGGATTGCGGCATGACCATCCCCCCTGGGGGGTGATTTCTCGCTTTCTGTCTCTATGTCTCTCTTTGTCTGTCTGGCAAGCACACGCGCCCTATAGCGAAAACCTCTCTAAAAAAAAAAAAGGATTTCATTTCAACCCTCTTAACACTGTGACAACAGCAAACAAATTTCAGTACAATAATTTGGGAGGAATACATTTAAACCACAGCAGAGTATTAAGATGAATAGTATTCTAGTATGTGTTTCTGGAATGTTTGAACATGTTACAATAAGCATGAATTACTTTTGTAACTGGGAAAAAATTTTTCAATCGTGTTTCAAGATATTAATAATATCATAACAATTACATTATCCTTAAAGAGAGAGCAGGATATAAAATTATATATAAATGAGCTCTAAAATATATAAACAAAAAAAAATCACATATTGGGACCAGCAGTTAGTATAATGGCTATGTCGCTGGATTCCTATGTAGTCGACCACGGTTCGGGACCCAGACCCGGTGGCTTAAACTCACACCAGGCGCATGTGCATGCGTGCCCAAGATCCCAAGAGGAGAATGGAGGAGAAGGGATTGAGGTGTGGCCATCCCCCCTGGGGGGTGATTTCTTGCTTTCTGTCTCTCTGTCTCTCTCTGTCTTGCTGGCGAGTACACGCGCCCTATCGCAAAAATCTCTCCAAAAAAAAAAAAATCACATATTTAAAATTGAATTTTTTTAATACCAGAGAGTATATGTGCTTGGCAGAGAGAGAGAGAGAGAGAGAGAGAGAGAGAGAAAGCCCCCCCCAATCGCG